GTTAAAAATAGATCTACCCTATGACCCAGCAATAGCACTGCTAGGAATTTACCGAAGGGATACAGGAATGGTGATGCATAGGGGCACTTGTACCCCAATGTTCATAGCAGCACTTCCAACAATAGCCAAATTATGGAAAGAGCCTAAATGTCCATCAACTGATAAATGGATAAAGAAATTGTGGTTTATATATACAATGGGATACTACTTGGCAATGAGAAAGAATGAAATCTGGCCTTTTGTAGCAACGTGGATGGAACTGGAGAGTGTTATGCTAAGTGAAATAAGCCATACAGAGAAAGACACATACCATATGTTTTCACTCTTATGTGGATCCTGAGAAACTTAACAGAAGACCATGGGGGAGGGGAAGGAAAAAAAAAAAGAGGGAGGGAGCCAAACCATAAGAGACTCTGAAAAGCTGAGAATAAACTGAGGGTTAATGGGGTGGAGGGAGGGGAAAGTGGGTGACGGGCATTGAGGAGGGGATGAGCACTGGGTGTTGTACGGAAACCAATTTGACAATAAATTTCATATTAAAAAAGAACACACACAGTACAAAAAAAAATTTACTCCCATCTTAGCCAGTATTAACCAGATATAAATTTCCTTTTCAAAGATTCTTTTTCCATAAACCGTTTACAACTTTCTTTTTTACACTAAGGCTTTGTCTCATGTTATCTCTCTTTTCCAGCCTGTTTGGAGAAACTTACTTTTTTTCTCCCCTCAACAAAAGTGCATTTCCAGGGGGCGCCTGGGTGGCGCAGTCGGTTAAGCGTCCGACTTCAGCCAGGTCACGATCTCGCGGTCCGGGAGTTTGAGCCCCGCGTCGGGCTCTGGGCTGATGGCTCAGAGCCTGGAGCCTGTTTCCGATTCTGTGTCTCCGTCTCTCTCTGCCCCTCCCCCGTTCTTGCTCTGTCTCTCTCTGTCCCAAAAATAAATAAACGTTGAAAAAAAAAGTGCATTTCCATTTTTCATACCTTCTTTTAACTGAAAGCATACATCCTCCTTTTTATTTTATATGGAGATGTTTCCTTTCTTATTTCTAGCAGCTTTAACCACACATATTAATTAGCATATGTGCTGCCAAAGTGAGGACTCATATTAATTAAAATTCTTAACTCTCAGAAACTAATTTCTAGTGAGATCTTAGTAGTAACCAATTATAAACTGTTACACCTGCTTTTTTTTGATTGGCAAATTTATGAATACATTTTATTCTAGAAATATGTGCTTCTTCATAGTATGATCTTTCAAATAAACATAAAACATGTCTACTCACAAACCCAAAATGTATTTTTATTATTTTTTTTAAGTTTATTTACCTATTTTGAGAGACAGAGATAGAGAGAGCGAGCTCAGGGAGAGAGAGAAACCCAAGCAGGCTCTGTGCTGTCAGCACAAAGCCCAACAAGGGGCTTGAACTCCCCAACCGTGAGATCATGACCTGAGCCAAAATCAACAGTTGGATGCTTTAACTGAGCCATCCAGGCACCCCCTTTTAGTTTCTTTTAATTGGGAAGACCAAAATAGATAAACCTACATTCAGTAATTAATGTTTCACTATTTTACCTTATTTGGAAATAATGTGGATATTCAATGAATTTAAATTATCACCTAACTTAGCAAAATTGTATAGTTCCAGGTTACCAAAAATTTTTGGAAGCTATTTAAAAAAATTTTTTTTAATGTTTATTTATTTTTGACAGAGAAAGAGAGAGAGAAAGAGCATGACAGGGAGAGGCAGAGAGAGAAGGAGACACAGAATTGGAAGCAGGTTCCAGGCTCTGAACTGTCAGCACAGAGCTCAAATGTGAGATCATGACCTGAGCCGAAGTTGGAGGCTTAACCAACTGAGCCATCCAGGCACCTTGGAAGCTATTTTTAAGTATGTATACCATAAAATACCATTGTTGTTTTTTAATCTATAAATATTTATATTACTTACATCTATTTAAATCCTTTGCTCCCAAGAATTATGTTTAGATTACCCACAAAAACTTCATGAGACATTAGACAAATTATTATTCTAAGTTATTTTTTGCTGACAAATTTTGTTACAGGGATAACATGAACTTATTTGATTAATAAACCTGGATAGAATAAAAGTATTATATTTAATACTGATAACTCTAAAGACATATCTTTTTTTTTTTTAAAGACAGGTCTATTTTCAATAAACCAACAATCTTAAATTAGTTTTAATACTAAATGTTTTCCCAGATCATATAAACCTAAAATTCATTTGTTAGTGTTTCTATTTGAGAATTTTATGAATATTGGATTTATATAAGTGTTTAAATTTTTTAAGCCAAGTAAATGGAGTTCCTTTATGAATTAATTTTGGCAATACCTTCCAGAGGTAGAAAAATACCATATATATAATGTATATACATACACATGTGGAGATGACTTTTAAGATTTTTCTTTGTCCCTGGAAGTAACCTCAAGAAGGCTGTGCTGATAGAGTTTGGGCACAAGATCCCTTTCAGCTGTGTGGATTTTATTTTATTTTATTTTTTTAATTTTTTTTTCAACGTTTATTTATTTTTGGGACAGAGAGAGACAGAGCATGAACGGGGGAGGGGCAGAGAGAGAGGGAGACACAGAATCGGAAGCAGGCTCCAGGCTCCGAGCCATCAGCCCAGAGCCTGACGCGGGGCTCGAACTCCCGGACCGCGAGATCGTGACCTGGCTGAAGTCGGACGCTTAACCGACTGCGCCACCCAGGTGCCCCTCAGCTGTGTGGATTTTAAAAAGGCCTCTATGCCTTTTTTCCTTCAAACTCACATAACTGTGGACTGTTTACATTTCAAAGACTTGGTAAGATTTCTAACTTTGGGGAACAGAGAAAGAATGCATTTTTTTTTTCTAAGAGTTTCAGGGTAATTGTAATATACCTTTTAGAAGTACAGGACAATTTTGCTTCAATATCCTCATCTTTATCTACCAGCATTTTGAGAGAAATAGGTGAGGTTTGGAGGTTAGTAAAGATACATTAGTAAAGAGTTACATTTCTGGTTTTGCAGAGATTTACAAGACAAAGACAGGTTTTTTAATTGCCCCCAAAGACCTGAATTACAGCCTAAGTATTAGGGGACTGACTCACCTTTTTAATCAAACTTGCTACTTTATACTAGAGAGACTTTTAACTAAAATAGGTATCAAAAGACTTATGCCGTTGTAAGGTCTGTATAGAGCATTTCAACAAAAGCCTTGTTTCTGAATACACAATTCAACATTGGTTTCTATTAGTCCCGAAACATGGCCTTCTGTTGATCTTTTGTAGGAGATTTTGGTCGCCTGTTTTATCTGTGAGGAGAATGTTGAGAATGGCCATTAATTTTTCTAATTTCTAATTGAGTAAGATCTTCTGAAAGTGGAGGTAAAGGGCTGTATAATCTAAAAGATCTGCTGTTCAGGGGACATGAACTTCATTTTGGTGGGGGTCTAGGATACATCTGTGAAGGACATTGCAGAAGAACGTCTGAAGCTGGCAGAGCCAGATAACAGGGCCCTGAACAGTAGGCACAAAGCCAGCCTTACTACCAGTCCCAGGAGCTTGTATTAAATTTATTTCCTCGGTTTCAGCATTTATATGAGAAACCTGTACACTTTGAACCTAGAGATCAGTCCAGAGCACTCCCTGTAAATCATGTAGAGAAAGGGAAGTTAAAACAGGCAGATGACACCAGATTGCGAGAAGGGAAATTGACATTAGGTGTGGACATTACTTTCTGTGTTAAGTCTAATTTCCTTTCTTTCATCTTATCAAGGGAATCCCTAAGGCTAGCTGTCATACTTACTTATAAGACAATTTTGAGAGCTCTGTAAGGATTTTTTTTTTTCTTTCAAATATAGCCATTTTGAAGGATCCATTGTCCAGCCATTGACAAGTAGGATCTTACTTATCATCAATAGCTACCCATAAGCCTTTTTATGGAATGACCTGGAGGCAATTTTCCAGGCTTAGACCATGGATGCCAGAGGTATCCCTGGAGAGGGCATAGATGATGTGGACCCAAAGATCCAAAAGTTTACTACCAAAAATAGTTTAAGAAAGCAAAAGCCTTTGTTGTACTGGCTTACTACTGGGTGGTGTAGTGAACATGGTGTCTTTGGTCCCAGGGAAACTTGAGACACCCCCAATCACAGACCTGCTAACTTGTGATGCTGGGCACATGCTACTGATACGTTTCCAGCACCAGTAAACAACAAAGGTTAAGATAATAAAGGTCCCTAAAGGGCTGGGACTTCTTATTTATTTTTTTGAGAGAGAGGGAGAGAGAGAGAGAAAGAGAAAATGTGACTGGGGGAGGGACAGAGAGAGAATCCCAAGAAGGCTCTGTGCCACCAGCACAGAGCCCGAGGCTGGGCTTGAACTCATGAACTGTGAGATGATGACCGGAGCCAAAATCAAGAGTCGGTTGCTTAATTGATTGAACCACCCAGGGGCCCCAGGGCTGGGACTTCTTATGAGAAATTCTCCTGAGAGCTAGCATCAATACTGCTAGCAATTATGTGTCCTGAAACCCTGGTCAGTTTCATCAGCCACTAAGGTACACCCAAGTAAATATACCCTCCTGATGGTGGAGACCAGAGAGAATATTCTCACAGGTCACAAAGCCAGGCTCTTAGGACATAGAACAAGGCGAAATGAAAAACCTCATCCAGTTTTTACATATAGGAACCACAGCAAAATTTGTCTGAACAGACTCCAGCCTTATGAGAATCATGAACTCTCCACTTTGTGAGGTTGGTTCAAACAGAAGGCTGATAGATCCCATACCTGCCTTCCTCTATGGCAATTCCTTTTTATGACAAATGATACGAATACAAAGAAAAACTGTGACCATCTCTGGAAGAAAACCAAGGGTATGCTACCAATTTACCAGAGTTGCTAAGCCCAAGGAACTAGTTCCATGAATATTTTCTCCTGCTGATCTAAATTTAGAGAGTAAAAGGACTCTCCCAGGGGCGGATATAGCAAGAATTCCTACCTTTTGCTGGCTTTTTGTCAGATGTCCCAGGATCTCTCAGCTGCAGCAGTATCCCGCTAGGAAAGTTTATCCTGCCAACTATGCTGACTGTTGTGGAGGAAAAATTTTTTCTATTATTCAAGATTCTTCTAGCTGGCCTAAGAATTAAATGGACATATGACCGATTAACAGGAGATAACACAAAATTTAATTAACTGTGCATGGAGGCTCAATACTAAAATTGAGACCCAAAGAAATGACTGAGCAGGTAGCTTTCATATTACAATAAACTTGAGGAAATGGCAGTAAAAACAAAATTTATGTCTGAGACCTTCAATTAGTAAGGAATTCTAAACAGAATTTGGGCTGGGGTAGTAATTAGTAAAAGTAACAATGTTTATGTAAATAGCCTTTTGTGCTCTGAATTCACTATTTCTGGTGTTAATGATGTCTTTCTACTTTCTGTACAGGAAGGGTATCTTTCACATGAGAGATCTATTTCCTGCTTTCTTGAGACAAGAGGGGCTTTGGGTGTTCTTCTTGCACTGGCTATTTATTAAATGACTTCTAATTCAAAATGATCAATATGCCAAAATGGCACATTTTGGGGCAGACTACCCCTGACCCCCATATGCACATTTGTGTAGATTAGGACTTAGAATGAGGCAGATGCCGTGGACCCTCAAGAGACTGCTCTTTAGACCAGGATACTCCAGACACTGCTCAGTTCTAGGTCTTTGGCTTCCCAGACCTGTGCAGCAGGCATGTACGTGGTATGCGTTTTAACAGCCACTTTTTGCAGCTGGGGCCCTCCGGTGTGGAGGCTGGGCTGGTCTATACCACCTATATAGCCACCAGGGAAGGCGGAACCTACCTTCAAAACCTTCTGAGGCATCAACTTTAAATTGTAAGCAGTCAGTCTACATCTGACTAGCCGCTCTGACGAGGACCCAATTTTTTTCAGCAATCAAGGCACCCAGGTGTCTCTTACTGAAGGATACCCCTGCCAGACTGCCCAGCCTCACCCTGGAAAGGCATCCAGTTTCCTCCAACCATAACTTCAGGGGGAATATGTGCATTAGTGATGATTAGGGCTTGGAATTAGGCAGATGCTTTTAATCCACAAAAGCCAACATGCCATCTTTCAATACTTGGTCTGTTCCAGGTCTCTGGCTGTCCTGACCCGCATGGCCCACACATATGCTGTATGTCCCCCCGCCCCACAATATCCAGCCACAGGAATCCAAGGCCCTCCAGGCACGTGAAGCTCAGGCTCAACATGAGCATAGCTTCCTCAACATCTGCAGAGCTCCCTGGGTGGAAGAATCCCTTACCTGAAAGTCTTTCTGAGGAGGCAGCTTTAAACAGAAAGGCAGTCCACATTTGGACTGGCTCTCTGATGAGGTTCCAGATTTCCCTAGCAATCAAAGGTAACTGGTGTCTCCTATTGGAGGACATCTGGCCATCTGCCAGGACCTACCCTGGTAAGGCAGGACGTCTTACTTCTGATCTGCCTTCATGGGAAATATGAACATCTGTTTAAGTTCGAGCTTGGAAATAGATACCTTGTACCCTAAACAGCCCCCTCATGTGACTGGGCTTGTGCCCATATTTTTCCTGCAACAGGTTCCTGGCTACCCTGACATGTACAGCCTGCGATGTGCAGTATGTACATGTCAGCCTTGGGTAGCTGGGGCACTGTAGGCCTCTGCAGCTCCAAATGGTCCTCATCCACTTGCATTACAGGGCAGAGTGTGCAGAATCCCAAAAAGTCTTTCTGAGGCATTAGCTTTAAGGGTGGAAAGAGCTCCCATTTGGACCAGCTACCTGACGGGGTCCTGGGCTTACCAACAAGCAAGGCTCCTAGATGCCTTTAGTAAACGTTTCCTAGTCAGGCCACCTGGCTCAGTCTTGGCAGTCCAGATTAATAGTTTTATCTTCAAGGAAAACATGTAAATTTGTGTAGGTTAGGGTTTGCAATAGGCCAGATGCCATAGACTTCCAAAAGCCCATTCATGAGACCGGGATTCTCCAACATTGCCTACGTCCTGGCTTCCTTACCTGAGCATCCCATGTATGCTCAGTATGTCTCCTGTCATCTAGACTTGGTCAACCAGAACCCTCTAGTCTTGTGGAGCTTTGGTCAGTGCCCCATCTGCAAAGCATTCAGTGTGGTGATAGCTCATCCCAAAACGTATTTCCAAGGTTCCATCCTAAACTGGCATTGTCAGTCCCCCTTTGGACTGGCTACCTGATGGGATCCTGAGTTTCCCCAGCTATCAAGGCTCCCAGGTATATCTTTTCAGAGGGCACTCCAGAAATCCCACCTGATTCCTCCAGCTGTGCCCTCAGTGGCAATATGCACATTTGTGTAGCTTAATGCTTGGAATTAGACAGATGCCAGGGACTGCCAATAACCCATTCTTATGACCCAGTGTCCCCAGACACTTGCCCTGTTTTAGGTCCCTGGCAAGCCTGACCTGTGTGCCTACACATGCGCAGTATGTATCCTGTCAGCTGCCCATGGGCAACCCAGGCACTCCAGAACTGTGGAGCTAAGGCCCCTCTACAACTACCTGCATAGCTTCAATGTTGGAGGGAGCCCATTTCATGAAAATTACTGAGGTGGCTGCTGAAATGAGATAGTTCCCATGTGGACTTAATGTCTGCTGGGGTCCCAGTCTCCTACACCAATCAGGGCTCCTGGGTATCTCTTATTTGAGGGTATCCCACAGAACCCTACTTGGTTCTACCCTGGAAAGGCAAGCCAGATTCTTCCATCTCTATATTCAGTGGGAATATGCACTTTCTGTGTAGGTTAGGGCTTAGAATTAGGGAGATGCCAAATACCCTAATTCCACACTCTTGTGACCTGCTCTTTGCCAAATCTTGCCCTATTTCAGGTTCCTGGCTACCATGACCTACATGATCCACACATGCACAGTACATGCCCTGAAAGTCACCCTTGGGTACTTGGGGCCCTCCAGAACTGTGGAACTAAAATTTATTTCCAACCATTGCATTTCAAACATACATTTAAAACACTGGTGGGTTGGGACGCCTGGGTGGCGCAGTCGGTTAAGCGTCCAACTTCAGCCAGGTCATGATCTCGCGGTCCGTGAGTTCGAGCCCCGCATCAGGCTCTGGCCTGATGGCTCAGAGCCTGGAGCCTGTTTCCGATTCTCTGTCTCCCTCTCTCTCTGACCCTCCCCCGTTCATGCTCTGTCTCTCCCTGTCCCAAAAATAAATAAACATTGAAAAAAAAATTTAAAAAAAAACACTGGTGGAAGGAGCTCATTTCCTGAAAATGGCTCTGAGGTGGGCATTAGTTACTTCAGTCCCCATTTAGACTTACTGTCCACTGTGGTCCCTGACTTTTATAGTAATCAAACCTCTAAGAGGCATCTTACTGGAGGATACCCTGGCTAGGTAACCTTATTCAGCCATGGCAAGGCAAGCTGCATTACTCTAGCTTTGCCTTCCGTGGGACATTGTGCTGGGTTAGGGCTGGTAATTAGGCAGATGCCATGTAACCCAAGAGCCTGAACCTATGAGCTGCCCTCCCTGGATGCTTGCCCTGTTCCAAATACCTGGACACCCTGACTTGGGGGAGACACACATGCATAATTGCATCCTGTAAGCCAGCCTTGAACAGACCGGACTTTTCAAGTCTGTGAAACCCTGGCCAGGCTCCAACCACAGTGTAGAGGGAGCCCACCTTTTGAAAAACTGCTTTAATCAGAAAGCTGCAAAGGGGTGACAGTCCCCATGTGAACTTCCTGCCTGTTGGATTCAGGGCTTCTCTAGGATCAGGACTCCCAGGTGTCTCTCAAAGGAGGATCCCCGTCCTGCTGGCATGGCTGTTCCATGGCAATGCGGTTGAAAAACTTACAGCTCCGCCTTCTGGGGGAATATTCCAGAATGGGTAGGTTGTCGTTGCACATTAGGCCAATGCCTTGTAACCCAGAATGCCTCCTCCTGTGACCCAGCCTCTCCTGACACTGCCCAGTTCAGGTAGCTGACTGCCTTCACTTTCACAGCCTGTGTACTTCTCACTCTGTCAGTGAACTCTGGGCTGTAAAGGGCTCTCCAGGCTCTGAAACTCTGGCTGGAATCCGACTACCTGAATGGCCTCAGGATGCAAGGAACCTTGAAAATCTGTCTGAGGTGGCAGCTTTAACCTGGTGATGGCCTGTCCCCATGTGGACTTGCTGCCTGATGTGGTCCCAGGCTTCTCTAGGAACAGGACTCCCAGCTGTCTCCCATTGGAGGACACCCTGTCCTGCAGGCATGGCCCTTCCCTGGCAGGGCATTTGGAAAACCTCCGACTCTATCTTCAGAGGGAATATTAAACAATGGGTAGGTGTCCTTGTGCCTTAGGTTGATGCCTTGTTCCCACAGTAGCATCCCTCCTATGACCAGCCTCCTTGTCAGTCATTGCCCAGTTCCAGGTCCCTGGCTATCTTACTTTGTGGAGCTCATGCCAGTGCACTTCATACCATGTCACCTGGCCTTGGGATGCAGGAAACACTCCAGGCCATAACGCAACCACCTCAATGGTTTAAGGAGGCTTGAGGAGTGTGGAGGGAGCACTCCCCTCCCCCCAGGCTGTCCTGAGGTAGCAACTTCAATCCAGCAAGTCTGTCCCTATTTGGACTGGCTGGCTCCCTGATGTGGTCCCAGGCTTCTCCAGCAATCAAGACTCCTGGCCATCCCAACCAGTCATGCCCTGGCAAGGCAGTCCAGATTTCCCCATCTGTACCTTCAGGGAGACTATGTACATTTGCATAGGCTGAACTTTGGAAGAAGATAGAACCCAGGTACCCCTACCCAGCTCATGTGACCCAGACTCCCCTGACACTTGCCCTGTTACAGGTCCCTGGATACTCTAACTTGTGGGGTTTGCACATATGCGATAAACCCAGAATGTCCCCTTTGTGCACCTAGGGCTCTCCGGGCCATCCCTAACCACCTGCATTACTCAAGGGTGGAGGAGACCTATCATGTCAAAATCATCTGAGGCGATTGCTAAAATAAGTGACAGACCCCATGGAGACTTCATGTCAAACACCCCCTGAGCTTTTACGGCAACCAATCCTCCCAGGTGTCTCTTATGGGAGAACATCCCAGCCAGCAGTGCCTCCTCCAACCCCCCCAGCCAACCCAGGCACAGCACTTAAGATCCCTCCAGCCCTGCCTTCAGGGGGGTTATTTGTATTTGTGGAAGTTAAGGGTTGGAATTAGGCAGAATCCAGCTACCCCTGTGAAACTGAGTAAAGGAAACCTTACTAAATATTCAGGGGCATCCCTGAAGAGGGAGCAGCCTGCATAACCAGCAAGGGGAAGGAAGAGAACTCTTATCTCAGCAAGGGAGGACACTTTCCACATAGGAGTTTCTTTCCTGCATTTGAGGAAGGAAGAGCTCTCCCCACCCAGCAACAGTGCACTGACCACCTCTTACAGCCAATGAAAAACCATCACAACCTTGAACTTTCCTCTAATGAAATTTTGTTCAACCCCCCCCTCCCAGTTTCTTCCTAAAACCTAATAAAAGCTGACCTTCCTTTTGTCTCTTCCAACTTGCCTGTGGCTTGCCATCGTTTGCTTGTCCTGAATTGCAATTCCTCTGCTATTCCCAAACAAACTCATTTTGCTAGCAAAATAACTTGCAATTTTATTTTTTGGTTGACACCCCCAAGAGCCCCCTCCTGTAACCCTGTTCTGTGGAATATTACCCTGTTCCATGTCCTGGGCTGCCCTGACCTGCAGGGCCTGTGCACTTACAATCCCCACCCCCAGTCTTGGGCTTCAGAGGGCTACACTGACCTATGCAGGCTGCTCAGGTGTGGCCTGCATGCTGCCAGCTAGTATAGTGCTGCCCAGGGCACTTCAGGCCTGTGGAGCTCCGGCCAAACTTCAGCCACCTCAGTCGTCTTCCGGTGGACGGTGGCCACCACCTGAAAATCTTTCTGAAGCCCCAGCTTACAGTGGTGACTGTCTGTCCCCTTTTGGGCTGGCTGCCTGCTGGGGTCCTGGGCTTCTCCAGTAATCAAGTCTCTTAGGTGTCACTTACTGGAGATTCCCTAGCCATCCTGCTGGGCCCCACTCAGGCAAGGCAGTCCCGATTCCTCTAGCTCTGTCTTCAGGCACAAGATATGTGCATTTATGTAGGTTAAGGCTTGCATTAGGCACATGCCAGGTACTTGCAAGTACCTGTGTCCTGGTGGACAGGCCTCACATGACACTCACCGTTTTACAGGTCCCTGGCTACCCTCACCTGGTGACCCACACATGCACAGTCCCCACCCTGTAAGCACCACACAGATAAGACCCTCCAAGCTTGTGAACCTCTGGCCAGGCCCCAATCACCTACATAGTCTTCAGCATGGAGGGAGCTCATCTTCTAAAAATTGCTCTGAGCCGAAAGCTGCAAATGGGTGATAGTCAGTCCCTATGTGGACTTACTGCCTGATGGGGTCCTGGGCTTCTCTAGGGACCAGGACTTCAAGGTGTCTCCAAATGAAAGGTAAGCTGTCTTGCTGGCAGGTCCCCACCCGGGCAAGGCAGTTGAAAACATCCAGCTCTACCTTCAGAGGGAAAAATCGCACAATGCATAGGTAGGTCTTATGCATGAGGTCGATGCCTTGTACCCCCAATCCCCCCTCCTGTGCCCCGGTCTCACCTGATATGCTCTGTTCCGGGACGCTGGCAATCATGACCTGCCAGCTGTAATGTACATTCCACACCGTCTGCCAGCTTTTGGCTGTTGGAATCCTCCAGGCCTGTGAGGCTCGAACCAGTTGCCTATCACCTGATAGCCTTCAGGGTGGAGAGAACCCACACCCCCCCCCCCAAATTTTTCTGAAGCCCTAAGTTAAACTGGGAACTGTCAGGCCCCGTTCGAACTGTCTGATAGGGAGCTGACTTCTCCAGCAATTAAGGATCCCAGCTGTGTCTTATAAGGGGGCATTCCAGCTGGTCCTAGTAAGGCCGCCCAGATTTCTCCAGCTCTGCTTAAAGGGGAAAATACACATTTGTTAGGTGAAGCCTTATAATTAGACAGATGCCTGGTACTTCTAATAGTCTGCTCTTGTGACCTGGCCTTACAAGACACTCACCTTTTCTCAGGTCCACGGCTACATTAACCTGCACAGCCCACATCATGAGGAGTATGTACCCCATTAGCTGTCCTTCAGCAGCTGGGGCCACCAGGCCTTGGGAGCTGAGACCCATCCCCAACCACCTGCACAGTCTCAAGGGTGCAGGGACCTAACACCCTGAACAGCCTCTGAAATGGGAGCTGGGCAGAGCCCATGAAGACTTAGTGTCCGCTGGGTTCTGGGGCTTCTGCAGTAATCAAGGTTGCCAGGTGTCCTTATTAGAGGATACTCTAGCCAGACTGCTGATTAAACCTGATCAGGCACTCCAGATTACTCCAGATCTGCCTTCAGTGAGAACGTCTATTTGTGTAGGTGAAAGTTTGGGATTAGGCACATGTCCGTTACCTCCAAAGCCCCCTCAGGTGACTGGGTCTTGCCCAACATTGCCTGTTCCATGTCCCTGGTTTACCTGTGTAGCCTGTACAAGTGCATTATGCACCCAGAAGCTGGACTTGGGCAGACGCTGCTCTCTAAACTTGTCAAACTCCCGCCAGGCTCCAATCACCCTCATAGCTTTTAGCATGGAGGGAGCCCACCTTTCAAAAATCACCCTGTGTGAAAGCTGCAAATGGGCAATGGTCCCCATGTGAACTTGCAGCCAATGGTGTCCTAGGCTTCTCTAGGGACCAGGACTCCCAGATACGTCTAAATGGAGGATATCCTGTCCTGCCAGTGTTCCCTCCCTGGCAAAGCAGATGGAAAACCTTCAGCTCTGCCTTGTGGGGAAAACTCCATACGGGCTCGTAGGCTGTGCATATTAGGCTGCTGACTCATACTCTGAATAGCCCCATCCTGTGACCTGGCTTCCTTCAACATTGCCTCGTTCCAGGCTATTCTGACCCACGCAGTGGGCACATGCAGTCCACGCCTCATCAGCAGGACTAGGGCTACAGGGGATGCTCCAAGCCTGTGAAATTCTGTTCAGAACCCAGTCACCTGAATTGCCTCAGGGTGTAGGGAACCCTCCACATGAAAGTCTTTGTCAGGAGGCAGCTTTAAATTTGTGACAGGTTGTGCTCATTTGGATTGGCTATCTGACGGGGGTCCTAGGCTTCTCCAGCCTCCCAGGTATCTATCATCCAAGGATATTATTTCTGGCCCCCAATGGCCAGACAGTCCAGATTCTTCCAGCTCTGCCTATGTTGTGTACTGGTTTGGTATGATGTCAAGTCCACTTGTTTATGAGAAGGACAAACTGTTTTCAGAGGTAAAGTTGTTTTGATATAAGAATGAAGGAAGTTGTGTCAGGACATCATCATCTCATCTGTTCTCGCCCATCAAAACTCAGCAACTCAGCTGCTGAGGGGCCTGGCTGGCAGCTTATCAATGAAAACAGATGATGTAACTGTCAAGGAGACATGAGACCATAAATAATGAGAGCTGTGGGGACTATTTGAGAATGCTTGCTCTGAGCAATCATAAACTTTGCTGATTTAAAATAGTTCCCAAGGACCCTGAGACAATTAGTTTCTGCCCCCAGTAAAGGCAACTCTCTTAAAAGCAGGGGCAAAGCCAAGTAGCATCGTAGGGAAGATCATCTTGCCAAACAACACCTGTGCCCTTGTTCCCTAGCAACAAGCTCTAGCAACACAGAACTTTTTTGCACTGACTTCTGGATGTCAGTTTTCACTTGACTAAGCCTCACTTGAGTGTCAACTCCTATAAAGTGTTAAAAAGAGAAATCCAAAATGGAGTCCTTTGCCCCCAACAACAACAAACCAAGATTTAGTTACAATTTCACCCTATCCCAGGAATGTGGCCTTTTATTTATTTTTAAAAGTACTCTCTAACACCCATCATGGGGCTCTAACTCATGACCCTGATATCAAGAGTGGCATGCTCTTCTGACTGAGCCAGCCAGTTGCCCCAACAATGTGACCTTTTAAAAGTGAATCTGAGGGGCGCCTGGGTGGCGCAGTCGGTTAAGCGTCCGACTTCAGCCAGGTCACGATCTCGCGGTCCGTGAGTTCGAGCCCCGCGTCGGGCTCTGGGCTGATGGCTCAGAGCCTGGAGCCTGTTTCCGATTCTGTGTCTCCCTCTCTCTCTGCCCCTCCCCCGTTCATGCTCTGTCTCTCTCTGTCCCAAAAATAAATAAAACGTTGAAAAAAAAATTTAAAAGTGAATCTGGGGGTACCTCGGTGGTTCAGTTGATTAAGCCTCGGACTCTTGATCTCAGGGTCATGAGTTCAAGCCCAAGCTGGCCTTCATACTGGGTGTGGAGCCTACTTAAAAAAAATTAAGTCAATCTGAAATTTCCTGATCGGCATCAGTGAGGTGATCTGCATGATAACAAACCCTGCTGGTCCCTCCCCACTTCAAAGAAGCTTTCCTGGCCTGAGACTAAACTTTCTTTTCTTTTGCTGATAATTTCCTTGCCCCATTCTCCCTCCTATAAAAACCTTCCATTTGTACAACTCCTCAGAGCTTCTCTCTACTTGCTATTTGTGATGCTGTTGGATTCATAAATTGCTTAATGAAATCAATTAGATATTCTAATTTACTCAGTTAACTTTTTTTTTTTTTAACAAAAGTATGCCTCAACTAAATTTGGACTTTATTCCTATCATCTCCCTTTTCCTGGGACAATAGTGTGGTTCATTTATCATTGGTTCGGGCTATAGCATTTCTTTATTGGCTTTATTAAAAGACATTACTACCCTGTGTGCAGGTGGCTTGTAAAATTCCCAGTGAAGCTGTGTTGAGAACATTTTTGGCAAAGACAAACTCAGTCGCTGAGCTTTAATTCACCTCCTCAAACAAAACAATTGGTATAGTCTGCAACCTGAACCAAAGTAATAATAATTAACAGCAGTCATTGCTGTGAAATATGTCATATTCCATTTAAATTTGAAACAAGTGATAAATTGTAATAAATTTATAGTAACAAAAATCTGAAAAAGCCCATTAATGGCTTGACAAATTTTAAACTTAAGATACTGTTTACTATTTATGGCGTCTTATTGAAATTATAACCAACCTTTGAATAGACAAAATTGATAGGGCTAGTATAATTTGGATGCTAATGTTGTCCGCAACAATTATCTTATTCTGCTTTACCATAGTACAAATCATTTGGAATCTTATTAGGCATCTCTCTGATAAAACATATATTGAACATACTTGTGAAAGGCAGCAGAACAATAGCAAATATACCCGACTTACGAACCCTTCCAAAATGATCCAAGAGGTGATCTAGGGGTAGAGCGGATTATATATTACCATCTGAGGATCCATAGAGACCTATTGAAGACTTTGGGCAAAAGTTAAAATTAAGGAAACTCCAGATATTGGCCTGATCAACCAATGCAGTCAATTATATCTTGCATTAGAGCAAGTAAGGAAGATCTTCTAGTGCTCTTCTTAGAAGCATTAGAGTAACACAGATGCCAACAGGCAGAAAGGAAAAGTACCAGCACAAACAGTTATCTCCAGGGATGCCTGGGTGGCCCAGTTAAGTGTCTGACTCTTGATTTCCACTCAGGTCACGATCTCACAGCACAGGTCTCTCTCTCCCTCTCTCTCTGCCTCTCCTGCACTCGCATACTCTCTCTCTCTCTCCCAAAATAAGTAAATAAACTTAAAAAAAAAGTTATCTCCAGGTTAGGAAGAAACCCATACCCTTTTGCCTCTAAGGGCACCAATCTACATTTCAACCATTTTGACTCTCATAACATTAGCTAACTAGAAGCTAAAAGCCCATGATAATAGACAAAATTACAACAAATGATTAATATGGAACCAATCAGAGTCATTGAAGAGAGAGCTAAAACCAGATAAGAAATGACAAAAATTAGAATGGAATTCCAACAGATTTGGACACAGAAACTCAGTGGCTATTAGATTTGTGGTCCAAAGGAAGACAAAACCTGATCCTCACAAAAGTAGAGATTATGCACCTAAAACCCATTATCATTGATGCTAAAATGAATCAATACTCAGAACATCTGGGGAAAATAATATTGGTTTACAAAGATCTTTGTTTATATAGCAGCAAACTGGAGATTAAGATGACCTGTACCTAATATATCATCTCTTAACAATATCTCCATGGAAAACAGTGAATGCTATTAATATATTTCATTTCATTATTATATTTCAGTAGTATGAAATTAGGACTATTACCTATGATTTATGATAGGGGCAGACATCCTTACTGATACATGTGGAAGCAACAAAACAAATTAAAAGTTCAGCCTAAAAGCTGTGCACTACAGGATAGAACAGCATTATTTACAGTATTTGTGTGAGGCAGAAAAACAGAACTGATTGACTTGATAAGAACAGCTGAGAGGCTAACTTAAGCTAAAGGCGATAGCTTTGGGGCACCTGGGTGGCTCAGTTGGTTAAGCCTCCAACTTCGGCTCAGGTCTGATAGCACCATTAGTGAGTTCAAGCCCTGTGTCAGGTTCTGTGCTGACAGCCTAGAGCCTGCTTTGGATTTTGTGTCTCCCTCTCTCCCTGACCCACTCCACTCACACTTTGTGTGTGTCTCTCAAAAATAAATAAAAATTAGAAAAAAAAGATAAGGCTATAGTTTTAAGCCTCATGTATATAGACATAACAGGCTTACACCTAATGAAAATAAACCAAATTAAAATAGACCATTTAGACCTAAATCTATAAGGCCCTTTTGATTCCCTAAACCATTTAGACTACCACTCTTGGAAACAAATTATAAAAATAGAAACTCAAATAAGAACCTGAGAAAGTGTGTACAGTGGCAGAGAAATGGAAACAGCCAAGCTTTTATGTTAGACCTATAGAAAATAAACCTACACATAACCACCAACCCATTTACTGTAAATACTAACTGTTTTATAAAACCTAATCCCATTAATAGACAAGCCACTGATAGCCAAAGGAATGCACACCCCACAAGCCCCTCATGGGGACTCAGTGGTCTCTGTCTCTTGGCCCAAGTCAGAGACAATCGCCCATATATTACAATGGCCATATCAATAGAAACCCCTTTTGCAAGCAGAGATATACATATACCACTATGTTGTTAGATACAGGGTCCCAGGTAACAATGATACAGGGTTATCCTACTCATTTAGAAAATTTTAACAATAAAAATGGATTAATTGAAGGATTAGGAGGAAAATTAATTCCAGGGAATGGGTATATAGATTTTAACAATTGAGGATAGAGTGTGCATTAAAGCTAATTGCTTATAAATACCAATTTAGAAAACATTCTAGGAATGGAGGTAATAGGACATAAAATTTGAGGAAAATATTCAAGAACCCCTAAAGGAACAAATTATAGTGCTTATTAGTTCACATTGTAATAACCCAATCAAACCTATTAAAAAGCTGGATGAGGGGTACCTGGGTGGCTCAGTCGGTTGAGTGTCCAACTTTGACTCGGGTCATGATTTCATGGTTCATGAGTTCAAGCCCCGTGTCCGGCTCTGTGCTGACAGCTCGAGGCCTGGAGCCTACTTCGGATTCTGTGTCTCCCTCTCTCTCTGCCCCTCCCCTGCTCATGCTCTGTCTCTCTCTCTCTCTCAAAAATAAATAAACATTCAAAAAATAAAAAGCTGGACGAGTGTTATAGGTTTACAGTAGATTTAAGAATTTAAACAAATAACCTCCCCAAATTAGGGGGCAGAACCCAGATATAGGCACTTTCATAAGCAATATTACTACTGAATCTGGAACTGATTACATAGGAATAGACAAGGAGAGCTAACCCATGACTGCATTCACGTGAGAAAGCAGATGATATCAGTTTATTAGGTTACTAACAGAATAACTTAACAGCCAGTAATAGCCCACAACCTTCTAACACAAGACATCCAGGCCTTTCAGGAAAACACAACACACACACACACACACACACACACACACACACACACACAAACCAGCACTTGTTATATGATGACACCCTTATTTGTGAGGATAACTTGGAACAACAGACTAGAGTCACAATACAGTTAATAGAATACCTTACACTCAGAGAATGAACAATTGACCCACATAATTTTCCAGGACCCCACACTACAGTAAAATTTCTAAGCATAATTTGATCCTCTGAAGGAAGAAAAATAACCAACACAGTTATAAAGAAGACAGCATATGAACTCCTACCACAAAAGCAGTAGCTCAAAAACTGATAGGACTGTTTGGGTCCTGGAAAGAGCACATACCACAGATGAGGATCGTATTAAAACATATTTATAAAATAACTAGGAAGAGTGGGAGGGGTGCCTGGGTGTCTCAGTCAATTAAGCCTCTGAGTCTTGATTTCTGCTCAGGTCATGATCTCACAGTTCGTGGGCTCAAGCCTCGAGTTAGGCTCCACACTGTCAGCTTGGGATTCTCTCTCTCTCCCTCGCTCTCTGCCCCTCTCCCGCTTGCTCGTACACACACACTCTCTCTCTCAAAATATATAAATGAACTTAAAACAAGAAAGAGTAGGGGATTCAGATGGACAGAGACTCAAGAGGAAGCCTTAACTTATTTCAGGAGTGCTGTCAGAACTTTTAATACATTGGTACCAGCCGGTGAGGATTCTAAATATAAATGAAAGTGCCTATATTCCCAGAAGATTGCAACATGGTGTTTGTGAATGAAAACACTGCAGGACCCCAAATTTTACCTGATAGCATTTGGTCCTAAGTACCTATGGTCCAAGAACAGGTATCAATCATTTGAAAGTCTCACCTGGGCGCTGGATAAGGCCCTATAAAATACAGAACCACTAACAGAAAATAAAACAATTATACTTAAATTCTAACAGCCTATTCTGGAGTGAGTAAAGCAGACCCCTGACAGAGGGGAAATACTTCTGACCAGAAAGCTCTAACATGGAAATTGTATATTTCTGGGTGTTGATTTCCTATGTTAACTGAGGAAA